AGTCATTCTGAAAGCCCGCGAGGAAAAAGGTACCAAGGAGGTTTGAGTTAAGAGTATCGAGAGAGTTTGGCGAGGTGGCAGTCAAATATTTGCCGTAGTGGTCGAGAACAAGAGTGCATGCATGGACGAGGCCGAGCAAAAACAAGGTGAGGTGCGCGAGCTACTCGAGGAGTTCGGTGAGGGTGCTGGGCGAGCCTAAGGGTCTACCACGAGAGTTCGACCACCACATACCATTTGTTAATGAACACCAAGCTGTGCACGTCCACCCTTACCTATATGCACACTTTCGAAAAACTGAGATTGAGAGGCAAGTGGGCGAGATGCTAAAGTCCAGGCTCATTCAACATCGCTCCAGCCCGTTCTCATCGCCAATACTACTAGCAAAGAAGAAGGAGGACACGTGGAGGTTCTGCACCGACTATCGATCACTTAATGTCGCGACAATCAAGGATCGTTTTCCCATCCCAGTGTCGATGACATTCTCGACGAATTCGGAGGATCTCGCTATTTCTCGAAGCTCGATCTTAGGGCTGGCTACCATCAGATCTGACTCCACAAAGCTGACATCCCGAAGATGGCTTTTCGAACACATCAGGGGCACTATGAGTATTTGGTGATGCCATTTGGGCTATGCAACGCCCCATCCACTTTTCAATTTGCAATGAATTCTATCTTCAAGGAGCACCTGCACAAATTTGTTCTGGTATTCTTCTACGACATCTTGATCTACTCGAAGACATAGGCAGAGCACGCCGAGCATCTGCGAGTAGTGCTCAAAATTTTGGAGGCCAATTCGTTCCAGATCAAGCCATCTAAGTGCTCGTCTGAACAGGAAATGGTCGAGTACCTAGGTCATTTTATCTCTCACGATGGCGTGAAGGTCGATCCAAGGAAAATCGAGCTATGGTCGACTGGCCTAAGCCAACGAGTCTCACGAAGCTACGAGGATTCCTAGGGTTCACCGAATACTACCGAAAGTTCGTGAAGGATTATGGGACCATCGCCAAGCACTTAACTGAGATGACTAAGAAAGGAGGGTTCAAGTGGACCGAAGCAAGCGAGGAGGCATTCGAGAAGCTGAAGGGCGCAATGAACACGACTCCAGTACTCGCAATGCCATGGTTCGATGTCTTGTTCGAAGTACATACGGACGCAAGCGACATAAGAATAGGAGTTGTGCTAGTGCAGGAAGGACGACCATTGGCCTATCTCAGCAAGGCCCTGGGCACAACTCGATTAGGGCTGTCTGTGTACGTGAAGGAGATGCTAGGAGTTGTAGAAGCTGTGAGATGTTGGAGGCCCTATCTATTGGGGCAACGTTTTCAGATTGTGACCGACCAGCAGCCGCTAAAGCACCTACTCAAGCAAAGGATTGTGACGTCCGAGCAGCAAAAGTTTGTCTCGATTCTTATGGGGTTCGACTTCGAGATAGTCTACCGGCTGGGCCGATAGAACACTGTGGCCGATGCACTCTCCCGACGAATGGCTGTAGCTGAGCTTGCGGCTATCACCGGACCAACATGGGCCGTTTGGGAGGAAGTTAGAAAGGCGCAGGAGGATGATCCACAAATCCAAGGAGCTGCGACAAGGGATCGAGGTGGGTGACAATGCCGTCGCCGACTACGAGCAGCATAACGGCCTATTACTCCATCGAGGCCGAGTATTCGTTCCCAACAATGGGAAGCTACGCGAGAGGATCATGCAGCACTTCCACGATTGTAAAATCGGAGGACACTCGAGAGTCTACCGCACGTGGATGAGGATGGCCAATACCTTCTTTTGGTCAGGGCAGCAGGGCACTGTCCGAGATTATGTCGCGGGATGCGACGAATGCCAACGCACTAAGGCCGACACAAGGCGATCGAGCGGGATGCTGCAACCATTGCCGGTACCCGAGGCGATTTTTGAAGATATCACTATGGACTTCATTGAAGGGCTGACAGTCTCCAATGGATTCAATGGTATCATGGTCGTGGTGGACCATCTTACGAAGTACGCCACTTCATACCCATCACGCATCCCTACACGGCGAAGTCCATCGCCAAACTATTTGTTGAGTATGTTATGAAGCTGCACGGGGAACCACGTTTGATAGTTTCTGATGGAGACCGGATCTTTATGAGCGGCTTTTGGTCTGAATTCTTCAAGCTGCAGGGGACCAAGTTATCGATGAGCTCAACCTATCACCGACAGACGGATGGAAAAATCGAGGTAACTAATCGAACTCTTGACCAGTACTTAAGGTGTTATGTCAATCAATTTCTGAAGAAGTGGGAGAATTTTCTACCATGGGCTGAGTATTGGTACAACACGGCGTACCACGGTTCGACTAAGATGACACCGTTCGAGCTGGTATATGGATGCAAACCGCCAACTCTCGTCAATAACTCGGAGGGAGGCACGATTAATGACGAGGTAGGCCGAGAGCTTGAGGAGCGGGACTTGATGTTGCTACAATTGAAGAAAAATCTCGAAGGATTGATCAACCGGATGAAGACATTCATGGACGGAAAAAGGCGAGAGGAGAGCTTTGAGCCAGGCAAATTTGTCTACTTGAAGCTGCGACAATTTACGCAACGCACGACTGCGCAGAGGGCGGCGACAAAGCTAGGGGTACGCTATTGTGGGCCCTATCAGATTCTGAAGCGCATTGGCCAAGTAGCTTATCGTCTAGAGCTGCCGGAGAGTTCGCATATCCATCCGGTCATACATGTCTCTCAGCTCAAGAGAAGTTTAGGCGAAGCGCACAAGTGGTGCGAAGAGTTACCAGCGACCGCCATTGACGAGAGAGTTATAGTACGACCAAGCCGGCGATTCAGTATCGCCAAGTAAGGAAAGTGGGTCGCTATCGTTGGGAAGTATTAGTTGAGTGGAAAGAGTTGCCGTCGGAGGAGGCCACATGGGAAGACATAGATGAGATGCGCGGTCAATTCCCAGATTTCGTCCTTAAGGGCAAGAAAGCACTTGAAAGGGACGGGAATGATGCGAATGTGGCTAGGCAGCTCAAGAATGCTGCGAGTCGCGCCTATCACGTACGAAGGAGGCTAGTACGAGAGACGAGCGAGACGCACGCCCTTGAGTAGGACGTATGCGAGATAGGCTAGCAAGGGAGCGAGAATGATGGCACGCGACTGGCGCGCAAGATAGGCGAGCAGGCGATGACTGGCGCGGGCATGCGGATAGCGCGCGAGCTAGAAGCGCGGGCAGCAGAGAGGGACGCGCGTGCGACAAGCGCTTTAGGCAGCAGCTTGCGGGACACCGCGAGTCTCGAAGACGCGGCAGGTGCCCGGGACGCGCGCGAGGAGGACACTGGCAGCGCGGGCGCGCACGATACGCGATGCGAGGATGCACGCGCGCGGAGAGGTGGCATGACCCTAGTCCTCGAGGACTAGGGCAAAGCCGCGTGGGCGGTGGCCGAGCTAGGGGCGGTTGGGCGGCTAGGGGTTTTCCTTGGAGTGCAAGTCAAGTTACAAGATCCCTTAGTTATCTAGTTTCTTTATTGCATTATAATTTCTAGCTTGTTTAGGTTACTTAATATTTTATTGCGTTATTAGAATTCTAGGTAGATGAGGACTAGATATAATTTGTGCCTATATAAAGGCCCTTCCTCTTGTTATTTTTTATCATCAAATTTATCAATAAAAATCTAGAACTTTTGTTCAAACACTTTCTCTTAGATTTCTTCTAGATTTCTATTGCAATTTTATTTGTTTAGAGTGGTGCGGTTTGTGAATCTCTAGACACCTATCGGCGATTCAAGGCACTGGTTTGTGGCTTATCGGCAGTCGGGACACGCGATCTTCATCAAGGACCTTCACGGCGCGGAAGGCTTCATGGCGCGGCAGGACGTGCTGAGTTCTCAATGCATCTCGTGGCAGCGACGCGGCGCAGTGACTGGACGGCTTGAGCCTCATTGCGTTACTTCGCGTATTATATCTGTTCAAGCTCGTACGTCCTCTGAATTTGGTTCCGTTTTCTCCCGTGTGTTGCCAACGAGACACTCTATCTAAAGGTGTTCACCCGGTCCTTTTATCATGGAAACACAAATCTTCTTGAGTCTTCTAACCTGCACACCAACGATGACAAGCAACCGGAAAAACACCGAAAAACACCAAAAAAACCAAAATGAAACAGAACACGAAATAAACTATAAAATAAACTAAAACTCACTAACCTAATATGAGGAAAAAAGATGTTTGTCCCATTTTTGTTGCGTTTTTCCTTTTTATTTTCTATTTCTTTTTCCCCCATTTTAGGTCTTTTCATTTGTTTATATTCGTTTTTGTAGTTTATTCTGTGCTTTCCTATCTAGAGTCTTTTTGTGTTTTTTTTAATTATTTTTTGGTTTTCTCCGTTTGTTTCTCTCGTCTTTAGTGGTGTGTAGGTTAGGTGCATTTGTTGATTATAATTTGGAGGAAATAATATTTTCGACAAGCTTAATTTGTAGAAAGACATGTTGGCTTCACACAGGAAAAGAAACGGAACCAAATTTGGTTTCCGAACATGCTCGTACGAACACAAAATGCAAAGTAGTGCAACACGCCCGAGCTACCAGGCCACCGCGCCGTGAAGTCCTTGTCACGACAACACCTTCTCTCTACGGCGAGCCACCACCTCCACGGTGCGGAACCACCACACCGCTTCAATCTCTCCCTCGGATGCGCTACATTCTCAAGCTTCGACAACACTTCCTCCTCACCATGAGACAACAGCAGCGCCGTGACGACCCTCTCATGCCGCTACAAGCAATCTTCTCATACCGTGACGACCCTCTCACGCTGCTGCAAATCTTATCTGCCACGTCTGGGAGTACTTTTCTGCCGCACCGTGCCAGCACCTTCGCGCCGTGCCATACTCTTCTCCCACACTGCGCCATCCTTTTCTC